TATATAGTTTCAAATTATAGTTTCATATAGTGTTTGTTCTTTCTGGATATGGCTTTTTATTGTGTGTGCAGTTGGTGTTGATCTTGAAATTGTTGTGATGAATAGTTTCGTTTTCTGAAAAGGATACACCCAAAGACCTTTAAACTCCAACTCTCACACATAAGCAGACATACAGTCCAAGGCCGTTTCAGTTGAAGGATGGATCCCTGTAAGTAGACAGCTAGCCTACCTGAGAATACTGCAGAATATTTCATATTTATCAATCGCAGACAGTTAACGTTTGTTTTCTTCTAAGGTACAATGATCGCAGCTGGCGCAGGAGCAGGTAAATAAAATGCTAAATGTCTTTTCACTAGGTAGAATACATGATTTTCAAGTTTTGCTACATTTTATTAGAATCTAAGCTATGAAGGTAAAATGACGTCAAAAAGATTTGCATACGCAGGGTAAGAGTTGTGGAAGTGTACATAAGACTGTATTTATGCTTACAGTCTTATGTACACTTCCACAAATATTACCCTGCGTATGCAAATCTTTCTGACGTCATTCTACCTTCATACTAAGCCTCTTTTCCACGGTCGGGCAGAAAGGTTCTAAGAACGGTAAGGAACGGTTCCAGTTATGTTTCCACTCGAGCTCGGTTCGGCACGGCACGATCTGGAACTGTCCAGAGTTCTCGGCAGCTGTGCTGAACCGTGTCGGCATGCGTGTGATGCTGCTCAGTGTCTAGTTTCTCTCTGTAGCTGCCAAAAGTGTTTTTTGAGCGAACGCTGTTTACATCTGATAACCTAGGTAAACACTTGCGTTACCAAGGCAACGACTGACGCGTTTGTCCACGGGCTCTGTTATCAGCTTGGAACACGAGTGAAACGGTTAAGCAACGAGAACGGTTTGGCCTGACAGTGGAAAAGCGGCTTAAGTTTCAACGCAATGAACTGTTGCAATACACAGGCCAACTGTTTTAAGTGGCTTTTAAATATTTATCCATCTGAACCAGTAAGGTTTTACAAATATGCCATGTTTCCACCAACAGCCGCAGCAGTCGCTGCAGCTCCTGCTGTTCTAGCAGCGGCAGGTTTCACCGCAGGTGGAATTGCTGTTGGTTCTATTGCCTCCTCTTTGATGTCAGCTGCTGCTGTCGCTAACGGAGGAGGGATCGCAGCTGGATCCGTGGTGGCAGCTCTTCAAGCCGCTGGTTTGCCAATGTCTTGAAACCTCTGCTATTGCATTCTGTGAATTTCTTCTTTACTCTGTGCGATTTAAAATGAATTGCGATAAGGCGGGCTGTTTGAGTTAGACTGTGGGTTCACACTGGGTTACAGCACATAACTATAGTAGCCTACTTAATTAAAGGGACACTATTTCTTTAAATGCTAAAATAGTTTTGGCTGATGGAATGACACTGGTGACTGTGGCCACACCTAATTATAAAAAGGTAGTAAGCTAAATGTAAGCAAATATTATCAGTTTTGAATTTTACACATGAATTGAGTGAACTTATAAATTAATAGGCTATATGTTTTGGGGTTTGTTAAATATGTTGCTAAATATGTTTGTTTAATGTAATAATAAACAATGTGGGTTAATAATTTATAATTAAAATACAGGATATCATTTTTGATCAATCAGAGATGGCCCACTTTATCTGAAAAGACATTTGTTTATACGTTTATTGGTAGGCCTATATTGAAATAAATAACACATTATATTTCTGCTGGACTTTAAAGAGATAAAACTGTGTAATAAAATTTAAAAAAATTTATTTCGGCTAATGCTGCATACATTTGTAATGAATTGTGCACATTAAAGACATTAGGTAACCTACTTCACGAAAATCCACTCCATATTGAATTATTCAGGATCTGTGAATTCAAGTGAAGGCCCTGCATTCATGTATGAATTCTGTTGTGGAAATCTCATTTTGAATGACTGGTTTTTAAATAAAGGGGTCATATGATTCTTTTTTAAAGATCATTATTTTGTGTATTTGGTGTAACAGAATATGTTGACATGCTTTAATGTTCAAAAAACACATTACATTCGTTTTATCAGGTGCGGCTGGAATCCCTGTTGCAGCTCAGGCTGTCATAGGTGCCATAGGCGGCACTGTGGGTGCAGCTGTGGGTGGACCATTGATATGCAGTGCAGGAGCCACAGGTGAATCCATTATTCTCTTTTGAGTACTGATTTGGTTTTTGTTTTTAGTTTTATTTTTCATTATAATTAAGGTTTAATTCTCTTCACTGTATAAGTGCTGTTTAACACTGGCAAAAGCTTTGGTTTTAAGTTGAACATCTGTCTATCCAACTAATAAGTAAAATGCTTTATAGCAGCAGTGTCTGTTTCATATGAGGTTTTTTATTTGCTATGGTAGCTCTGGAAACATGTGTGATCAAAACAGGTTCAAACTCATTTTTGTTTTCAAAAATCAGGTGCTGTCGCAAGCGGAGGCATCGTGGGAACTGCCGTGAGCTCAGTTGCCAGGTTAATTGGCAACTGCACTGCGTAAAT